AGTTTCTCTCTCTTTCCCTGCTCCTTCTCCTTTTTTTTTTCTTTTTCTTCTGGGAAACTCCACAGACAAAGGTTCTTCTCTGCCTCCTGTGCTTTGTAAGGGACATGTAAGAAATGCCTATAGTCTCCCAATCAACTCTGAAGAAAGCAGCCCTGGGTTGTGTGCAAATGAATGAGAGCTGTTGTATTCTAATAAAAGTTTATTTATAGATTATAGATGTAAACATTTTATTTTGATGTATGTTTTATGGTCACAAAATGTTCTACTCCTGCCTACCCCCCCCACCCCCCTCGGCTTGCAACCACCTACAAAAACAAACTCTACTTTCAGTTCACCAGCCATCAACAAAACTTGCAACAAACTGGCTTTGGCTCTGGGTCCATAGTTGGAGGACCCATGGGTCTCACACGTCTTGGCTTCCTGCTTGGACTCTTGCAGCTGTCTAGCTGAGCAAGGAAGGGAAAGGCCTCTCTGTGCCTTAGCTTCCGTTGGGTGACAACAATGTCACTGGCCTTAAGGACTAGTTGTGAGGTTTTTGCAGAAAGCAAACTTAACCCAGGGGGACTAGTATCCTGGCATTAGGGTGGCGGGCCCCTTGCTCTGCTCTGTTGCAGTGGGTGGTTGTTATGTCCTGAAAACAGGATAACACGTTTGGTTATCTTGGGTGCTCCAGAAAGCCATGAGCTGAGTGGGTCTTTTGCTTTGGGTCCCTTTGTTGAGTATCACTGGAGCTGCGGGGACCTGGTAGCCATTTACTTTCCCTACCAGCCCCGTCCAAGAAGGCACATGCGCCTCTGGTAGCACACAAGGGAATATCTGGAAATGTTGAGGTGGATCCAACATCATTTTTGGTAATTTGAAGCAAGATGTTCTTCTTCCAGACCCCAAACTAGCCACCCTCTTTATGATTTTGACCGTGTCTTCACACCATCTAGGTTATTACCCACTTACATACATTACTTAAAATAATCTGGCTAAATGTTTTTATTTTTGAGATGGGATCTCAGGCTGACTTTGAAATTCATTATGTCACCAAAATTAATCTTGGGCTCCTGATTCTCCTGCCTCCACCTCCCAAGGATTACAGAAGAGTGTCATCATGCCTGATTTTTTTATGCAGTGTTGAGGACTGAACCCAGGGTCTCAGGCATGCGAAGCAAGCAATCTACCAACTGAACTACACCCTCAGACTCATTCTTTCTAGTTTTAGTTAGCTCCCCCATATACACAAAAATTTTTTTGTGTAAGTGTACGTGTCTGTGCATGTGAGAGCAGGTGCTTGAGGAGACTAGAAGAGGGAGTTGGGTTCCCTGGACCTGGAGGTGTGCACCTCCTGATATGGGTATTGGAAACTGCACTTGGGTCCTGTGCAAGAACAGTATGCTCTTTTAACTGCTCAGCCATCTTTCAGCACCTAGTTAGGCTCCTTTTTAAATATCTCCTTTAAGCCAAATACATTTTGTACTGTGGATTTGATGGGCTAATTATATTTTTACATGTAAACATTAAAACAAAAGAAAAATGAGTTCTTAATTGTGCCCTTGGAAACCATCAGAGTGATGCAAGTCGGCTCTCCAGGAAACAGTGCACTGACTAGACTCTTCATCCCACCTCCTGTGGTCAGAGGCCTTGATGTCAGGCAAGTCAGCAGACAGCCAACTCTTCATGGCCTTGGGTACCACTTTAAAACCCATCTGTGGGGTGCAGAGGTAGCATTCGTGAGGTCTCCTTTGCTCTGTTCCCAGCTCGCCCCAAAGCAGCTTCTGCAACTGCTAGGGCTCCTTGCTCATCAGGGTGACTCTTGATTTGCACCCCCTCCCAGCCCTCCCCCTCCCCCGCCCCGTTCCCCTCCCCCCTCATCCCAGCACCACCCAGCCACCCAGCACAGGACCTTTTTGACTTTGGAGTGCCTTCTCGGTCAATGGCTGCTGTTTCCCAAGCCACCCAGGGGCTCAGTGTTTACGGGAAGATTTCCAGCCCTGCTGGGGAGACTGTTTTGGCTCTCGGTGGGCCTTCTGCCAGGGTATGGTCTCACTCACAAGTGCCTGGCTGCTTTAAGGTTTAGTGTGCTTACCTGCAAGACGGAGGCTCTAAGAAATCCTGTCAGGGGTATCACGAAGGTACACAAGAGAAGGCCTTGAAAATGTTCCCTAGGTATGAGGAGGTGTATCAGTCAAGGACAGAGGCTCCAGAGACAAAACTGGATCCTTTCTTCTTCATCACCCCCTGGCTATATAATTGGGAAGACAGTGAGGATAACAGCCTGGCTCCCAGACACCTTCTCTGCTTCCTTCCTCAAGTGACCTCTTTGTCTAAGCCTAGATCCTCTTTGGACATGCCTGCAAAATAGTATTGTTCCAGGACCATGCAGACGTGCAAGGCCAAGGTGTAGCATCGCAGCTGCCCACCCTATTCCCATTTTTCTGAGAAAGCAGGCGGGGCCTCCTGCAGCTGTCCCGGATGGGCCAGGCCCCAGTCCAGTGCTACCATTGACTCATACTTGAATCCAACTCATCTTGATTTTATGAGAATCATCCCTGAAAATCCCCATGTTCAAAAGACGACACCGGGGAACCATGGAGCAGGCTCATCATTTGAATAATCAGCCATTTAGTGACATGTCTAGCCTGGTTTAATGATTGAATCAGTGAAAGTATGACCCCGAGTGCCGGTTAACTTTTAAAATAGCCGTGCCCACTGCAGGACACAGCCAACAGGAAACCATTAAGGCCCTGGCAATTACCACTTCCATCCATCGGCGAAGTCCCTATTTTATTTTAATCTGTGTAAGTGCATTTTCTGCACAAGGTTAAAATATAAATCCCTTCTCCTGAACAAGACTGGTTTTCTGGCTGACTTGAGAGCACAATTTACAACTGATTTAATTTGTTCTTCACAAACATTCCTAATGACATTACCCCGGTGCATATACAGACTGCCTCCTCTTATTCCATTAACTCCCAAATCGGGTTTAAAGACCATATTGATGCTAGATGTTATTATGGGTGATTATCAAAACAACAGACAATGCGGCAAAGTGTTTACTAACTGGTTTATATATAATTTCTGTAATAACGACAACAGATGGTAATGCTACAAACACTAAATCACGCTTTTCACCACGGAAACAAATTGGCAGCCTGCGGTACAGAAATGGTGTACGTAGCTCTATACAGATGCCTCGTTCATCAGCTATAGTGTTCATCTTATTAGGAAATGGCTCTGTTACCGCTATTACAGGTAATCTTTCCATTTACAATTACAAATGTATATTTTCAATGGAAATGCTTTTCTGCAGCTAAGCTGCCTGAAGGATATTCCTCCCCCCTCTAATTACTGCCTGGGTGATGCGTGCCCTGGCTGAGCTACGAACAGGGGAGGGTGTGCTGGTCTTAGCTAATGGTGCATTTCAGCTGCAATGAGATGGGTCCATTCTCCAAGACCCTCGACCACTCATCCGAAAGGCCACCACGCAGCTCCAGGAGGCAGGCACCATCACTTTAAAAGCAGGTGACATTGCTGAACTCAGAGGACCCTTCCCATACCCTAATCTGGCTCCGGTGGCTCTCTAACTGTAGAAGAGAGTTTCAGACCTGGCAGGGACGCCCTGCCTTTTACCCCTTGTCTTTGATAAACCACATCTTACCTTTCAGGGTGGTAAGCTGAGGTCCAGAGAAGGGACTCGTCAGGCCATGGGCTATGGGACAAGGACACTTGGACAGGTGTGTCCGTGTGTCCAGGTAAAAGCTTACTGGGTTGTGTGTGTGTGTGTGTGTGTGTGTGTGTGTGTGTGTGTGTGTGTGTAGAGGTCAAACTTGGGTGTCACTCCTCAGACACCTTTGTTTTTTGAGCCAAGCTCTCTCACTGGCCTGGACCTCTGCCAGGATGCTAGACCATTTGCCAGCAAGTCGCAAGGATCCCCCTAGCTCTTCCTCTTGAGTCCTGGGATTACAAGGGCAGGCTATTGTGCATAGTTTGGTTTTTGTTTTACTATGTAACCCAGGCTGCCTCCTAAGTGCTGGGACTAAAGTCATGTACCACCATGCCCAGGCCTTTTCTTTTCTTGTTCAGTTTTTTAAAAATGTGAGTTCTGGGTGTCAGATGCATGTCCTCACGCTTCCAGAACACTTTCCCGACAGAGCCATCTCCCCAGCTCCCTAATGCGTCTTTTTTCCCAATTGGGAATCCTCTCTCATCCCAGACCACCAGTGCTATCCCAGGCTGCCCCAGGCCTGAGTGTCAATGCCTGCATTGTAATTACCACACAGACGCTCAGTGATTTCTGCAGATACCCAATAAGGGCCTATTGCTCACCCTGCCTTGTGGATGACACAGTGGAGCACGAAGCACCGTGGACTCATTTGTCTGTGATCTTGGAGACAGTGAGACTGGGTTTGAGTGGGAGTTCTGACAGAATCCAAAGCCTGTGGACATAACCATTAGCCACACTGCTTTTCCAGAGGAGAGCATTGGTGCCATCGTGCTCAGACAAAACTGCCGGAGAACTAACTGAACGTGGGGGTAGAAAGGCAGGTAGTGTTTGGGTTTTTCTGTGTTTGGTGGAACTCCCAGCCATGGTGGTGAGGCCATGGTGACTGGAGAGTCTGGAGGGATTCAGTCCACAGCAGAGGGAGCTTATGATGCATTTTGTTCACCACTTAGGGGACCAGGATGTAGAGGGATCTGGCTGGAGGCGAAGCTGGGATATAACCTTCCAGATTCACTCTAGTGGCCTACATGGATCTACCAGCAGACTTCATGTCCAAATGCTCCATCTACAATGTCTCAAAGCAGCATCACCAACTGGGGACCAGGTGTTCAAACACATGAGCCTGTGTGGACATACTACACTCAAGCCATAACATCATAACATTGGCCATCTGTCCATTCCTGACTCTAGTGAGTCCTTCCCTTCCCTCCCCTCCCTTCCCTTTCCTTCCCTCCTTTCACCTTTCTTTCTTTCTTTCTTTCTTTCTTTCTTTCTTTCTTTCTTTCTTTCTTTCTTTCTTTCTTTCTTTCTTTCTTTCTTTCTTTCTTTCTTTCTTTCTTTCTTTCCTTCTTTCTTTCTTTCTTTCTTTCTTTCTTTCTTTCTTTCTTTCTCTCTTTCTCTCTTTCTTTTCTTTTTCCTCTCTTTCCCCCCTTTCCTCCATCTGTCCATTCATCTGTCCGTCCCTCCCTCCCTCCGTTCCTTCCTCCCTACCTTCTATTTCCGTGCTAAAAATTGACTCCAAGGCTTCATTCACGCAAGGCAAATACACTAACACAGAACTAGACCCCAGCCCTGGCTCTGCTTTTGAGCTCCCCACTACATCCTAAATTGGCCTTCCATGTCTTGGATTTGGTTTCTTTCCTTCCTTGTTTGAGGTGCACTGATCTGAGGTGTGTGCCCCAGCTCCCAGGGCAGATGATGTCTTCCTTTGGGTGGTGGATGAGAGGGGCATTATTGAGACAAGGGAACTGAGGCCTGGGGTAGATGTGGGTTTCTTAGGGCCCACGTGAGAAGCTAGAACCAGGCCTCCTTTCCCATTTTTGAGAGTTGTGAAGACTAGAAGGGACGGAAGGGTAGCTACTCGCAGGCCTGTAGACCCCTTGGTCAGTGTGGGGCCTCTGCCTCTCCCGCTCTCCACACACAGTGGCTGTGGGCCTCTTGTCTCTTGTAGGCTGTGGGATCCTTCCTGGAGTCCAGGGCTGTACTTGATATTTCTGTGGCCTTCATGACTGTACAGAAGATCCTTACCAGGATGTCCAGCTTGGAGGCCATTGGGGTTCCATAGGCTTGGGGGCTAGGTGCTCTCCTGCTGTGGACTGGGGAGTCAGTGCTGGCCCCTGTGCCCCTCACAGGTGATTTGGAGGCAGGAACATGAGTGAGTTCCTCTCTGCACTTCCTGGGGTGACCCAGGTGTCAGGTGAAGGCTTCCTTCTGCTCCTCCCAGCCACCCTTTCAACTGGGCTGTTCTGGAAGTTGGGTGTGAAGTACAGCTCTCCACCCCTCCCTAGGAAGAAGGAGCAGGACAGAGGGCTGTTCAGCAATGGGACCCCACTATGCTCTGTGAAGACCTGCTGATTACTCCAATGTCTCTGGCCCGATGCACAGTGACCCTCAGGGTTCACTCAGGACAGAACCGTGTCACGCTCTATTGAGAAGCCAATCACAAGCTTCCTGGTAACCACTTTGTGAAGGGATGGTGAATTGGTGCCGCCCTGTAATTTTCTGCATGGCAGTCTCTCTGTCCTCCCCGGCCACTTCCCCCTGACCTCAGAGGTGGCTCTGTGCCCTGACACTGTGCCTTCTTAGGACCTGCACAATGAACTACTGTCCAAGGGACATGTCCCTTGTTCCTTGTTCTAGGCAGAAGCACCTGGTCTGGATAGTGGATACATTTTCAGAAGGCCTCGCCTGGCTTACGGCGCACAGGCAAGGCTGTGAGGATTTCTACCGTAACCAAGTGTTGACTGGGAATCCAGCTCCTAGATCTTGGTACTCAGGCCTCTGTTTCCTCCTTGGAGTGGATCCTTTACCTTGGGAGGGCCACATAAGCAGGAGGAAATGTCCCTTCAGAATCCAATTTGACTTAATCCCAGTTTGTGTCTTACTGGGCCTTGGGTAAGCAATCTAACCTCTAAACTGTGTAGAGTGTTTATGAGTTTTGTGCGTGTGTGTGAGAGTTTTGTGTATGCATGCTTGTGTGTGCCTGTGAAGGCCAGAGGTTGACATCAAGTGTCTTCCTCAATTGCTGTCTACCTTATTATTATTATTATTATTATTATTATTATTATTATTATTATTATACATAGGATCTCTCACTGAGTTCAGAGCTCATTAATTGGCTAGAGGAGCTGGCTGACAAGGCCCTAGGTTCCTCCTGTCCATGCCTCCCACCAGCACCGGGATTATAGGCACACATCTATGATTTTTTGCAGTGTGTGTGTGTGTGTGTGTGTGTGTGTGTGTGTGTGTGTGTGTACTGAGGCTCTGAACTCAGGGCCTTGACTGACTAAGCCGTTGTTCTAATTCCCTAATTCCACTCTTTGAATCTGTAAAGAAGGACCAGAAGAATGTCAATGAGGGAAGGGGCAGCTCCTGTTATGTGCCTCCTCCTGTGCCCTTGGAGGGGTCCACAGAATTAATAAGCACTTGACATTTGTTCTTAATCCAAGCCCGTGGGAAGGTCACTGTTTCCGGTGTCCACGGTTCCTCCCTCAAAATACAAGAATACCCGCCCTTGTCCATGGCATCCTACCCAAGCCCTGTAGATTGACTTTAACTCTTTCATTATCTCCAAAGGAAGACAATGGCTGGGTGGGACACGGGAAAGTGCTAAGTGTGTGATGTGTGATGGAGTCACATGGTCGTGTGTTGGCGAACAAAATTCATTCCTGTCCAAGTGTTTTCTTCTGTTAGAAGGCTTTTCCTGAGATGCTGGCAGGTAAAATGCTTCAGGAGAGTAGAGAGAAGACAGTTTGGTTTGAGAAGAAAGCCCCACTTCACCCTGATCAGGTAGGTGACCTGAGCCTCAGGTTTCCTGTTTGTATGATGGGAGTTTAGAGGGCCTTGGGACCCTCTCCATCTGATATTTCACATGGGTGTGGCTGTTTGGAGTTCGGTTGAGCTGAATTCCACTCCTCAGAGGAATTCTGTGCTTGGGGCTCATTCTCTTAGTGGGAGAGGGCTCAGAGAGGGTTCAAATCCACCCTAAACGCACAGACAGAGAGGCTCAGCCTGTCCCTGTCAAGCTGGGTTCTTGGCCACATCACCACAAACTAACGTCGTTAACTGATATGCTGCAAAGTGTATTTAGTGTAGCTGGCAGATTTCAAAAAAAACTTCTTCCTGAGATTATGAAAGATTTTAATTAGAGTCTCACCAACGTGGAGGAAGAGAATTGCTAATTGACACTCCCCCCCCCCCCGCCCCCAATTCCAAGCAGCCTCAGAGCGAAAGAGCGAACCCTGTTTTAAGGGCAGCGTATGATGTGACAACAGTGATGGATATGCTAATTTCTTCATTCACTCCACTTCACTTCTTTTATTCTTTCCAATTAAAGCAAATGCTGCTGAAACCATAATTAAGGCTGGGCTGGGCCGGCCTGCCTGCTGCTTTAATGAACCCCCATTGATTTTCCTTTTCTTCCTAATGGCCACACAGAATTCTCAATGGTCAAATATATGCCTGGCTACAACGTCCTGCTAAAACTTAATTTTGGCCTGGCAAAAATGGAGGCCCAACAGAGAAGGGACTCAGCAGGCCTGTTTATGGAAGGGGTGACTTGGGAGGCTCCTCTTTAGGGGGCTGCACTTCGGGGTTTCGGGGGACACATGCCCACAACTGCATGGCCATTGAGATAAAATGGGGGTGTACCACAACCCCTTTCATTCTAGCATGGTTCATTCTGGGTGGCAGGTTAAACTCCAGGAGCTTAACTGGGCATAGTGTTAAATTTAGAGCATTTTGGAGCCCTGGAAATACATATTCTTGGAAGATGTTCACAAGCCAGAGAACAGTTCCAATGACAAAGATCAGAATGGTTTACTTCTCTTTGGCAATAAATTTGAAAGAAAAGATTTATTTATTTATTTATTTATTTATTTATTTATTTATTTATTTATTTATTTATTTATTTGTCAAGACAGGGTTTCTTTGTGTAACAGCCCTGGCTGTCCTGGAACTCTGTAGACCAAGCTGGTCTCAAGATCTGCCTGCCTCTGCCTCCTGAGTGCTGAGATTAAAGGGGTGTGCCACCACCGCCCAGCTTATTTATTTATTTTTCTAAAGGAACTGTCCATCTTCCTGAGATGTTCTTATACAGGTGGCCTTCCCCATGTGGAACACACAGAAGCCACACAAATAAGAATGAGAAGGAATGTTGAGACCTGAACACAACCAAGAGCAACTTCAGACTCTGGTCAGAAAGTAAGTGTCACGTACTTCGGCTGATTTTCTGTGCCCAGCATCAAGGTCCACTTATGGAGGACGGGACCACCTAGTTCTCTGTAGTAGTCTCTTGTCTGTGGCTTTGTGTTCTGTGGTCTCAATGACCTGAAGAATATTCCAAAATTAGTCTAAAAATATTAAGTGGAAAATTCTAGAAACAAGCAATTCATAATTTTTCAGTAACTCCTTTGACTGTGTATTATTACACTTGTTCTATTTTTTGTTATCATTAATTTCTTGATGTGATTAACATACATATGTAGAAAAAGCATTGTGCATATAGGACTCCATTCTGTCTGAGGTTTCTGGTGTCCACCAGGGATCTGGGAGTGTATCCCTTGAGCCCAAAAGGGAGCTATTCTATATTATCTCTTATTCTTCTCTGCATGTACCTCTTCTCCATCCTTCCCCACCAAGTTTTCATTGTTGTGTTAGCTTTCTCCTGTGTGGACAAACTGTATGAGTGTCTTAACCCTTCTTCTTGTAACTGAAGCCCAGCACCCCGACAAGAAGCAACTCAGTGGGGGAAAGGTCTGTGAGGATGCCATCTGTCATGGGGTGTGGAGGCAGGCTGTGCCACCCCTGATGCTGAGATTCCTCATTTCCTCCCAGCTCAGCAGAACAGGACTCCTAGGGAGGACCGGGGCCAAGGCTGGGCTATGAACCCCGAGGCCAGATTCCCAGCCCGCTCCATTGACCCGCTAGGTCTCACCTCCTAACTGGTCCAGAACTTCTCCCCAAACAACAGCACAACCAGCTGAGGACTAATGTTCAAACATGTGACCCTGTGGGGGATATTCTATATCCAAATGGAACAGTGAGGTCCCTAAAATACTCAAGAAGACATGTTTCTGATATCTGCATATCTATATCTATATAAAGCTGCCAGAGCGTGAGGTTCATGTGCCTTTCCCAAAACCCCCGAAGCATCCTCATAGCAATGTCCCAGGCTTATCACCATACCTACCAAGTGGGGGATACCTCCTGTGTTTTAGGTGCCAGAGAAGATCTCTCCGTAGAGCGTCTCCTTGGATCCCGTTGGCAAGAAAAGCAATCAAACCGAGGAGGCTCACGCAGTTGCTCGGCTGAAGCAGAAATGGGGTGAAATGGTTTTCAGGCAGGGAAAGAGAGAAAGAGAGAGCGAAAGAGCGGGGGTGGAAGGGAGGCAAAGAGAGAGAAAGAGAGGAAAGAGAGAGATTCTATCTCAGTCACGTGAATTCAAATTTTGTTTTCATTGGGACTTTAGGTCATCGGTGGCTCGCCTTAGGTATCCCCTTCAAATTAGTTAGCCTTTCCTCCTCCCGGCTCAGGTGGAAGCTTTCTGCCTGGCCCTTGCTCCCAGATGAGGTGAGGGTGTGGCCTGCCAACTTGGCACCGTTCCTGTTTCCGTTTGTATAAGACAGTTTTTGTGTGTGGTGGTAGTGGAGTTGGGGAGGTGTCCACACTGGATAGAGTGTACTCCTATACCCTTGGGCTTTACCCACAAGAATCCATAGCACAACCATGACAACCAAAATTATCTTCAGGGAGCAGTGTTTCTCTCATTTAAAAATCCTTGGCTCAGATATTTATATTTTGTTTGCTAGGGTTGAAAATACAGAGCATTTTAAAATTAAGTATGCCAATTTTTGTCTTACTTTATGGTAAGCAATTAGCTGGTTGTAAATAAAAATAAAAATTCAAAATTCAGACAACTAAAAAAGAGGCCCTAGTGATGTATTTATTTGTTATTGATTTTTATATCAGAACCTGGAACTTTTTCCAAGGGAACTTTTGGGAAGAGCCTGCGTCAGGCAATGCAAGATGGCTGTGTGGCCAGTTTCCATTTGGCTGGCTAGTATCTTCGTAAGTCTCTGAGTCTTGAACTATAAGTTTTTGTCATTAAGTGTGGGTTAATTTAGTGACTCATCTCTGAGCTTCCTGATGGGACTGATGGTCTTAACAATTGAACAGAGACAGGATGAGCAGTACAAATACGGAGTCAGAGAATTTCCACTTATGGTCAAAATTCACAACATCAGAGAAGAAGAAGGAGGGGGAGAGGGATAAAAGGAAGGAGAGAGAGAGTGGGAGGGAAGGGGAGAAATGGAGGGAAGAAAAAGGAGGAAGGGGGAGAAAGAGCAGAACAAGGAAACCAAGCAGTTTACAGAACATGCAGATGGGAGAAACAGGTACCTGGAGATCTTATGGCGGCCCATCTGTTAAAGTCACAGAGGAGGCTGGGTAGTTTTATGGAGATTCATTTAATCTCCATATCATGACAGGTCATGTTTTCAAAAGAAAAAAAAAAAAGAAGACCCTTGTGGTTTTGTGGCCCAGCACACTAGTAGCCCTGTGCACTGCTCCGGGTCACGGCGTTGGGGGTGAGTGGACAAGCTTGGAGTCTGGGAGGTGTCAGAGAAGCAGGGGGCACCGTGAACTCTCCAATAGTGAAATTCCTGGACAAGACAGAGCCGTTCCCATCAGTGCCGAGTCCCCAAAGCCTAGAGTGTCAGTGAAATGTCAAGGGAAGGGCTGCCTCCTCCTCACGTCTGCTGGGGACAGGGCTGGCTTTGATGGCGCTCTTCCCCACATCTGCTTGCTTTGTCTTCATTTCAGTGTTTAGGACCCACATCTTAGATTTTCATTTTTAAGGGGCAAACCATTGTTTTGAGAACCCCAATAGAACCAATGACTTTTTTTTAAAAAACAGGTAAGGAAGAAAGTCAGGTTTTTAAAAATTGTTTTTTTAAAAAATTGCATGTACTTTTGACAGAGATGAAAGACCTTTTCCTGCATGTTGGCTCTGACATCCTGCTTGTCAGAGCTAGAGAGAGAGGGAGGGAGAGAGAGAGAGAGAGAGAGAGAGAGAGAGAGAGAGAGAGAGAGAGAGGCCCCTAGGAATGGAACTGCAGGGACCCTGAAGAGGGGACACCATCATGCCACCACCGAGTTCTGTCAACTGTCAAGTTAATTAGAATGAAATTAAAAACACATTTGCCAAGATGTTCCGCAGCCAAACCAGTTAAATAGAGATTTTAACAAAATTGAAAGCATATTATACAGAGATTTGTGGATTCTGGCCCCGGTGAGTGAGTGCCGCAAGTGTGATAAAATAACAAAATTGCTGCCTAATAATCTATAGAATAATATTGTCAACTAATGGATTATAATAAAATAAAAGCTGTTATTAGGGTAAAACATTATAACAAAAAGTCCAACTTTTATTTGCGGCACCTCCCCCTTAATGGTTTTGAGCATTTTGAAAGGTAATTTAAACAAGTACATTGTGTCCTTATTGAAGCGGCTTCATCTCGCTAGCTGCTGAAAATGGCTTTAACCATCCCCCTGAACAAAAGCACCCCTAATAAGACAACAAAAAGCCCAGAGCAATGGCCCAGCAGCGGGCTCTGGTGAGGAGCGGAGCCTGCTAAGGCGGCCTGCTTTCTCCTTGCATGTAATTAGATGAATTAAAAGGACAAAGTGGTTAATGTAACTGTTGTCTGGGGGGAGGGAAGGGGCAATCCAGCCCTTTTCATCCCATCCATTTCAGACAAGAGCTGGTGGCTTTTGCTTCAGCGATGTGGAGAAGAATGTTGGCCGTGAGGGAAATTAACAAGCTTAATCTGCAAGCAATCTGCCCAGAGTCCTGAATGAAATGTGTCTCGAGCCAGGAGAGAGGAATCATTCCTGCTTCCTTTTTATATACCTAAGAAAACTCACAATAAGTGAACTGCGTCCGAGTTTGCAGCCAGGCTCTTCTCGTTGGGGATGAGGTACTGGGTAGTCAAGCCACAAGGTGGCCTCTTCTGTCTATCTGGGCTGTGGGGCAGGAGGGCTGCTTCTTTTGTTGAAGTACTGGACCATTGCCTACTGGGGGTCCATCTTCTAGTGATGGGTATTGGGAGGAAAGTGCAGCTACTCCCCCCTGGCTCATTTGACTTAAAAGGGACTAGGATCCTTGGGAGACCCTCCACCCAATCGATGCATTGATGCTTTCTTAGTAACCTCATCCACTGTGTATTTTCTGTGAGTAATGCCGGCTCTCTGACCATTTAGGAAGGTTGACATCATGGCCACATCTTACGGTGGAAAGAGAAATGCATTTTCATTTTGGCCCTCTCTTATTCCTTGTGTAGATGGAGAAATAGCCTCCCTAAGTGTTGGACCTGGGAACTTCCAAAGGTGGAGGTGAGATGGAGAGTGGGAAGAACCCCACCCCCTCCTCCTGTCTGCCATTTTGTACTCTAACATGGACTCTGAAAAGCAACCTGGAGCCTTCCAAATGGACTGTGTAACTATGTTTTATTATAAAAAATAGAAAGTAGAAAATTAAATTCATTAGCTCCCATTACTAAATGATTCATCTGGCTGGTTAATGAAGCTGCACATTATGCTAACAAGATGAAGAGTAACATGCAGGGATCGGTGGCCACGGGAAAGCCGTGCTCTGTTTGGTTGGAAACACACAGCTGAGCAGGTCTGCGTCTTGAGATAGATGATGTGTCATGGGGTAGAGCAGAGACAGGGAGTCGGGGCTCAGGGCTGAGTGCATGTCAGGGGACTGAGTGAGCCCAGGGCCCTCTTCGCCTGTTTTGAAAGCTGGTGGACAGTCCAGAAGGAGGGACATCCGTATCTGTCATCAGAGCCAAGAGAACGGGCGCCTGGCCATTCACAGGAAGGCTGAGTGCCAGGCTCGATGGTCTCTCGGGTTTTAGAGCTTCCGCTTTGACCTGGAACTATGAGATTGTTAGGAACAGAAGGACTATGCAGAGGCCCATGCTATATGGAGTCTCAGCTGTTGGCCAAACCATCTGAGATACATGATGCCAAGAAGTGACTTGCTGTGGAGGTGAGGGGTGGGTTCCTGGAGCTGGCCCTCTAAGCACAAGGAGGCCTTGGTGATCAATGCTCAGGCAAATGGATGGCCAGACCTCCCACTTCTGCGCAGGTCCTTGTTGATGTGGATTGCTGCTGGTGACCTCTCCTATCTCACCATCTCCACCTCCTTTCTTCGCTTTCTGCTACCCACTCCTTTGTTTTCCTGGGCACTCATCTATAACCCAAGTCCACTAGGACCTCCAGTTGCTTTCTGGATTCTTTCAGGATGAGTCCAGGATAATTTCCACGGCGTGCACTGAGTTAACCAGATAAAACATCCATCAAATAGCAAAGATAACCTTTTTTTTCCTTTTAAAATATTTTATTCTTATTTTTTAAGTTATGTGTACATATACATTGCTGTGTGAGAGTTGGGGCATGTGAACTTAGTACCCAAAGAGGCCAGTGGCATCAGATGTCCTGGAGCTGGAGTTACAAGTGGTTGTGAGATGTCTGACATGCGTGCTGGGAACTGAACTTGGGTCCTCTGCAAGAGCAGTATATGCTCCACCCACTGTGAAATCTCTCCAGTCCCCTAAAGCCTTATTTATTTATTTATCCACTTATTTATATTTATTTATGATTTATTATTATAATTTTAAAAAATTTCATACAACATGCTTTGAATGCATTAATTTCCTTGCCCAAGTCCTCCAAGACCTGTCCCCCAACTTCACATTCTTTCTCTCTCTTAAAAAAAAGCAAAACCCAAACAAAGCTTACAAAACACTAGTCCGACTTTTATTGGCCGGTTACTCCTGAGCGCAAGGCCTGTCGTGGGAGTGTGGTTGATATACCTAGTGTCACTCTATGGAAGAAAACTGATTTTCCCTCTTCCAGCAGTTATCCATTGCAAATAGCATATTAGTTAGGGGTGGGACTTAGTGCCCACTTCCTCTTCTCAGAGCTGGGTCTTTGTCTGGCTTGAATTTGAGTAGGTCTTATGCATGCTGTCCCACTCTCTGTGAGTTCACACATGCATCAGCCCTTCTGTGTCTGGAAAGCACTGTTTCCTTGAAGTTGCCTACCACATCTGGCTCTTACATCCCTTCTATGCCCTCTTCTGCATTGGTCCCTGAGTCTTGAGGGAAGGAGTGTGTATGACAAAGACATCCCATTAAAGGATGAATGCTCCAAAGTATCTCATTCTCTGTACATTCTCCATCTGTGGGTCTCTATGCTAATTGCCACCTGCTGCAAGAAGAAGCTTCTCCAATGAGAACTAAGCAATGCACTGATCTACGAGTATAGCCATGCATCATTAGGAGTTGATTTATCTAATCTCGGGTTCTTGGCCTCACTAACAGTACTGCGTGAGTTTCAGCTCATGGAGCAGGCCTTCAGTCCTAAAAGGACCACCTTTGCACCGGCAGGCATACCTTGCACTCGAGTTGCCATTGCAGCTCGAAGGGTTCATAGTTGGGTGATACTGATGATGACTTTTCTTCTCTAGTAGTGTGGATAGTTATCTTCCAGCACTAACCATGCTAGTCAGGAGAGATGAAACTTCTAGCTGAGCACCAGCATGATTTCCCCATGTTCAATGACACAAGTATGTGGTATCTTCAGCAACAGGGTCTGACTGTCAAGTTGTGGAGGATAACTAATAGCATTTCAATAGCCTGTAATGTTTGTGGGGGGTGGTCTAAAAGACCCTTTTGCCAACAACTTAAAAAGATGTGTTCTATTCCTGGTATTGGGAGTTTTATTTGATAGCATATGATGTCCAGTTGCAGTGAGTATAACCTAAAATTTAAAACCCCTGATCTCTGCAGCATGGTAAAAGATGCCGAGGACTCCTCTACTTTAGTAGTTTGTCGTTCAGTGGCTCTCCTTATCTCCTGGATGCTGCTGGTCACAATGGGTATTGCCAATGGTGGGGTGGCTGTAAAGGGGATTTTAATGAAAGTATGCTAGAGTTTCCCTCGAGACAGTGAAGTGTTAGGCCGTGTTCATACCTACAGGTGTAGCTGGAGTTTTCTCTCCGGGTCCCGCCAAGCCCCAGCAGTCCAACAGCCCACTTATAAAATAAACACACAGATGCTTATATTATTTACAAACTGTATGGCCATGGCAGGCTTCTTGCTATCTAGATCTTATATCTTAAATTAACCCATTTCTATTTATCTATAAGTTGCCATGTGGCTCGTGAATTAC